TTCTCACCTATATTGATCTCATCATCAGTTTCAGCATCGCCAATGCATTCAAACTGAAACTCCTGCAGCGACTGAGAGAACCGCTGCACTGCCAGAGACAGACCTGAGGAAAATGAACAGGCAGGTATGATAATCATATTGCTAATATAATTTTAATAAAAGCTCACTGATGTCACTGCTTAAACCAATTACAATGATCCCTGTTTCTCTTAAGAAATGATCCTGAAGTTTTGAAACAAGGATCTGGCTTGTCATATGATACCCAGAGGTGAAGTGTCAAAGTCTGATGTAAGCGAACTGCCACACCTGGTGATAACACATGTGTTTGTGTTAAATGCTCTTTCTGTGTGTCTCACTCTGTCACTACACTGCGCTGCTGTGAGATGAACAAAACCCCTGCAGGGACCTGAAGTCACATTTGGTTTTCAACATATAAAAGGAACTGAATCACCCAAAGCTCTCCACCACCAGGAACAGAAAGAAAGTCCTATTCATTACAGCCATAAGATGGAAACTAAGCTGACTTGTATTTGTCTGCTTAAGTTTAGCAACTCATTTTGTTTAAAAACTAAATTGCCTTAAGAACACTAAACATGTGTCTCAAATAACAAACTGCATTCTACTGGATCTAAATATGGTGTCTCAGGTGATTCTTCATAGAAAAGGACTTGTTCTAAAGAACAATGCAGCCATTCAGTTTGATGCCACTGACGGACGTAACCTGGAGGCAGGTGAAGAGTCTCGCCCCTCTTTGTCAGTTTTTAAAATCAATGAGCCAGCAGACAGATTTCCCTAAGTATTTCCTACCCTTCACACTGTAGTTCAGGGGGTTTTGTGTTTGCAGTGTGGGTTGCCACACTTATATAGGTAAATATCTAGATAATAGGTATTTACATTCTTTACAAATAATGTAAACTTCTTTGTGGCCTTTTTTAGATAACTGTATGGCTGGAACTGCATGGCAAAGCAATCTTGAAAAACATTTGACATAAGAGTCTTTAGGACACCGGTTACATAATTTCAGGGGATTTTTAATCATTAAGCTGCACAGTGTAATTCCATACTGCATACTGTAATCATATTTTTAAATTAATTCATATTACTGATGCTGTCATAGAACAAACAGTGGAGAGAATCGTAAAAATTACAATTCCAAGAGTACAGATTATTTCTCTTAATTACGCACTATGAATAAAAGTATAAAACTGCAGTCTGAAGATTATCCTGTTTTTAACAGAATCGTGGTCAGTAAAAATAAATATAAAAGCTAATAAATAAAAGGTTGATAAATTAGCACAAACCACCTAATCTGATGTAAATTTAGACCTTTCTCAAAGAGGGTTTGGGGTTCTTGAGCCTCTGGGGTGTGCGATGCTGTGCTGTTTAGTTTTTATGGTAATTTAGCCCTTTTCTGTTAACCTGTAACCATAATGGGACTGAAATGCTGCACTGCATCACTACATCTTAAGTGAAGAAAGAATCTGGACCCTCCAGTTGTTAACCCTTTGCAACCTAAGGATTTGCTGTCTGAAAACGTGCATTGATTTCTCAAGCTTTGAAGAAGTAGTAAGATAAATCTAAAAGAAAAAGAGGAAGCTAAATGTTCCCAATTTTTAAAAACTTACACAGTGTCTTGCTTTGTGGAAAGTATTTAGACCCTCTAAATTCTAAATTCTTTTCAGCTCACAATACAGGCTTCAGTTTATTTTCTTTAATGTGATATACCAACAGGCAGTGGCACACAATCATAAAACCACATGCATGCAATACAATGTAATACATGGTTTAGTAAATAAAACATTTATGTTTACCATTTATATACACAACCCCCATAAGTTAGCAAGCAGGAAGGATCTTTTGTAGAAATACAGCTGGACATGGCTTGTAGAAGTCAACCAATTGCAGTTTTCCAGCTAATTGCCAACTACCAAAAAGCCTGACCTGCCAATTCTGATTTTTGCAAATACCCTTTTTTTTTTTTTACTTTATCTTACTGTTTTCTTTCTGTCTGCCATTGTATGCCTTTTCCTAAATGTCTACCTTATTAAGAGAGTAACTATTTTTAAAGATATGTACACAAATGTTTCAAGGGCTAAAAAGAACATCTTCACATTTGGTGATTTTTGGAGTACAGGTATTTGAAAACAGGAACTGTTAGGTTGTCCAAAAGGAGTCATGATTTTTACATAAGACCTAAGTTTCAGCAACATACTCACAGTAAATAAAAATCCTGAAAATTTCTTGTCTTTCTTTTCTTTTCCTTTCTTTTTATCTTGTCATTTCTCTTCTCTTCTCTTCTACAGCCCAAGATAATTAGTGGCCCCCATTTTGCCACCTTTTACAAAACTTTCTAGAAACGTCCCTGGTACTGAATGACTTTCTTTCATTTAATGCATGTAGTTATTCTCCATCAACCACTAAGTCATCTCTAATGTGCAATCAATAACAATATGTATTTTTAAACAGTAGGTTATCCATAGCAAATGCACAGTAAAATTCCGTTTAAAGTTAAGTAATGGTACTTTTACCATATAGACATTATATAATAGGTATTACATAGTAATTACTAGCACCAATGTATGGTAAATAAAGATATATTGAAACATCTGTCCTCTGAGAGTTTAACTAAATGGGACAGAACTGATGGCCTCGGGCTTTTCTGTTGTCACACCGTGCACCGAATCGGGTTAAATAATCTCTCAAAACATTAACCAGTCGTTGTTTACTTACTTCTGAGGGCGGATATGAGCATGTTTCCATCTTTGATCAAGTCTTTTATAAACCTGTTGGTTCTCTCCAGCTCAATTTCATGGCACTGCAGCCGCTCTCTGAACTCCGGACTATCCAGCAAAGAATCACTGAACTCCAGCGTCGGGAGACCCATCGATAACTCAGCACAGGCGGCTCGGAATTAAAACAACTGCAACAACACGTCTCAGCAGAGTGAAAAAAAACCTTTCACATAACGAGCTGTTTTATTACGCACGAAAATTCCTGGACTAATGTTTCTTCCAGCTCCTTCTTATCATGCCTTTTTTCCCCCCTCGTAAGAACTTCCGGACACTGACACAGCAGAGCCTGTGACAGGGAGGGTTTGGCTAGCTTTCACAGCGAGCCTTGCCGAGCCGTTTCTTCTACTTTGTCTACTTTGCTGCTCTGAAATATACTTTCGCTTTTCTATTAATAAGTTATGACAATAAATCAGAAAGGACTAGGAGTCGGGGAACCGAAAAGTGCTTTTTTGTTTGTTTGTTAGGGCGCATAAAGACTCCAGACGACCAACTTGGAGGCTAACGTTTTTTTTTTCTCACATACGGCTTCAATGGAAGGGTTGTTACTATGGGAACGGGAGACTCCTGCTGGCGTGAGCAGAAATCAGGAGAAAAGTTTGCCAAGAAAAACTGAGTAGTCTTGTCTGTAGTCTGTAGGCAGAGATTGGGAAGGATAGCTTTGCATAAACTACTTTTCTGAGATCTTGAGCAACGTTTTTTTTTTTTTTGTAATGCATATTAATGTAATCCACTTTAGTTATTTTTGAAAAGAATAACCAAGTCAGAGGTCGTTGGACCTCTAAAATACACAATTATTCGTTTTGGAAGTGGTGTTAGAAGGAAGGTGAAAACTAGTGTTGAATTTAAGGTTGGAAGTGAAACGTGTTATTATTTTTTGTGACATAGTTACAATCCTGCTGCAGATACATTTTTATGTGTAACAGTGTTGGAATCTTGTCTTGCAGGACTGTGTCAATCCTGTGAACTTTTGCTTTGGATAATTGATGGTAAAAATATTTTTATGTTTATATCCTGTTTCCAATTTTATGTGACCCCTAAGGATAATATTAAGTAGCCTGACAATTAAATGTTTTTTTAATTTTTATTATAGAATTAAATTACAGTTATTAGAGCTTCTTAAAAAGATGATACAAGTTTAAATCTTTGAGAATGCCAAGAGAAATCATGCATTAATTTGCCAGTGGTTTTGTGGTTTCCCCAGGAATAAGGCCGTCTGATGAATAGATGGGGCTATTAACAGTGAAAAAAACACTGCTGTGGGATTTTTGCCAGGAGAATACAGAGAGGCACACAAGATCACTGAACTCTGGCCAGACATTCTGTGGAAACGTCCGAACAGACTCACTGAATCATATTCGGTTGTTTCAGAACGTGTAATTAAACACTGCAGTTCTCAAATTGACTTTCAACATCACACTTGCTGTTGGATGACTGAGTCATCCTGAGTCATTCCACATTTCAGCATTGCACATTGACTGAGATGGCTATTTCTTTCTTTTTTTCTGGTTTATCAGTCTTGAATAAAGCTGAAAAAAATATTTATACAGGCCCTTTCGTCCCTTGAAACCCAACAACTCCTGCAAGGTTTCAGTACTCTCTTGGCGATCCTACTGTTTTATTGTTGGGTTTCTTATGCGGTGGAAAAGACAACTGGAGTCCATGACTACTGGAGTCAACAGGCCTAAAAGTAGTTTTGATGCAGACAGCTTAGATAGAGACAGTATAGACAAGACTTTTTCCAGATTTAAGGTACGATGTATACTCAAAAGTATTTTGTGCAGCATCATATGTTCAAATTCATAGGAAATTGTGATCTTTTTCTATATTTGCTGAAAGGTAATACATAAAAGCAAAGATTTTAAAGTACCAAGCAAAGAAGAATTAAAACTTTTGTTGATGTTTTTGATTTGAGACCCTTCAAAAGCCCACATACTAAATATAACATTTTCCTAACCACACATAACTAAGCATCTGATGAATAAAGCAGAAGACAACTGAAAAAAAAATTATATTTGCTTTTTATAATCACCATCTTAATGAAAAAAGGGTCTTACTGCTGTTTTCCCACGCTTTGTCATGTAACTGAGCACAGCTTCCAGGATGGAAGCCACATCCAAAGGTGCTACATATATTTTAAAAGAAGCTGTGAGTTTATAGGTCTTAGCGGAGACATTTGTACTTTGTTCTTTATAGACCTCTCATTTAGTGTGAAGGTTGTGGGTAATTGTTTATTAGACTATTCTCTCCATGTAGTGAAATACAAACAATGCAACAAATTAACATCTGAAAAAGACAAAATATTAGAAACGAAATGCGCTTAATCAAATCTGAGCTCCTGAACATACCTTGATCCAAACCTTTCAGTTGTTGCTGTACATGTTTAGGGTCAATATCCTGCTGAACAGTGAACGTGTGCTCCTGTCTGAAGACTTGAAACTTCTAACAGGCTTTTTTTTCTCCAAGATTGCTCTATATTTAGGTCCATCCATCTTCCCGTCCTTATCAACTTCCCTATCCCCGATAAGAAAACTATCTCCACAGCATAATGCTGCCACTATGCTGTTCTACAATGGGGAGGGTGTATGATCTTATTTTTCAACCACATTAGCATTTTGCATGTAGTTCTATTTTGGTTTCTTCTGACCAAACTCCCACCTTCATGCTCAACTGTGTCTCCTGTAGCTAATATGAGGAGAGTAAGGTCTGAGTTGTGGATCTCTGCAGCTCCTCCAGAGCTGAAAAACTTTTATGAAACTTTTATCTTCTTCTGTGGTTAATGCTCCCATGTTTTTGTTTGTATTTGTATATGTCAATACATATAAAACATGTTAATGTCTGTGGCTGTATCACAACAATGTCAAACAAAAAGTTCATGTGTAAATTAAAACTGGCCGAGGTTACTGTTTACACATGAAATCCAGGTTTTTATTTCATTTATAAATATGAAGTTTTCATTTGTAAAACTTCAGGAGAATGTCACTCAAGATATTCTCTAGCCTGATAACCTAAGCATCAACTCTGTTTTCAGGAGACACCAGATTTGGCATCTCTTCAGTCTCCTGCAGCTTTGTCATTCAGCGCAGCTCATCTGTCTGTGTTCTGACTTTGCAGGACTGAAGTCAATACTTTGCAAAAATAAGCATACCCAAGCTGGCATGAAGCTCAGGGAAGCTGACGAGCAGAAACTGGCTTCATCCAGACAAGGCCTTTGAGTTCTAACCTGCACACGTTTAGTCATGTTGGAAATAAAATATTCTGCTATTTTAATCCTGAGGCAGTCCAAATGGACCAGCTACTGTAACATCTTTGACAACTATAAAACCTTTGACAAGTAGGCCAAATATTCTTACCAGTCTCATTTTTTGCCAATCATGTATAACAAAAAAATAGATGATGTCTAAAAGAGGCCTATTTGCAAAACATCTCAAAACTTTGGTTTTCTTTTAATAATAATTTTGCATTTTAACCAATCATCAAATTGTAACAATACACTCCTGTACCAGATCAAACAGTCATTTCCCCCCTTATGTTGTTCACAGACCCTCTCCATACAATCTGACAGAAAGTTAACTTCTAGATCTGCAAATCTGGCAGAGACATAATCACAAGAAGTCTTTAGTTGTGATTGCTCATGGGGTGCTAAATACAAATAAACATTTTTTTTTTCTGTTTCCTTGTTTTTGTTTTATTTGGATCTCTGGGGGGGCTTTATAGTCTTGTGTCAAACAATCATGGTTTAAAACATACTTTACAATCCTCATCAGCAAAACTCAAAACCTGTGTCAAAATTAGCAAACTGGCAAATATAAGAACTGAAATAAACTTTCTCATTGAAACAGGAATGGAAAAACAAACTGATTCTGACTTGCAGAATTGAAAAAGAAAAACTTTTACTTCTTTGCATGTGGACAACTTAGATGTAAATGTACATGGGGCAATTATACCCTAAATATAATTGGACTCCTACTGAGTTTGAAGAGCCCAATAAGTATTTTTAACAACAAAAAGAATGCTTTTAAAAAGGGAGAATGGAAATTATAGCACATCATGTAAAGCAATCAGAAATTAGTTGAGATGTCTGTTATTTACAGTCTAAAATGCCTATAAACATCATCATCATCTCCAGTCTCTGTGTCTGCGATCACCCCTGTCTCTATCCCGGTAATCTCTCCTGTCTCTGCTGCCCCAGTCGCTCTCTCCGTACCGGCGTCTGTCCCCTCTGACTCTCGGCTCTCCTCGGTCTCTATCCCCCAGTACTCGCTCCTGCGTGGCCCCGGGACCGAGGTTTATCGGTTTGCGGAAGGGTCTGTCCCTGCCGCCGAAACGCAGCTGTCCGGATTCCTTTTTGCCGCCCAACCCGCCCCCGAGACGCCGCGGCACCCATCCTTTGAGGGTCCTCTCCAGCTCGAAGTCCACGAACAATTCGTGCTGGTCCAATACCAGCTTGTCGGCGTCCCGGCGGGCCCGACTCACGGACCGCTCCTCCTTGTATTCTATGAAGGCGTATCCTTTGGAGAAACCCGTAACAATGTCTCGAACAAGTCGCAGCCGCCGTATGTCTCCATATTTCGAGAACACTGTCTGCAGCTTGTCTTCGGTTGTCTGGGGATTCAATCGGGCCACAAACAATGTGAGGAGCGGGTCGCCAACGACGCCCTTGTTGGGCTTGTAGCGGGCGGACATGGCCCTCCATACCGCCCGGTCATGGGGCTCCACGTCCGTCCCGTCGATGCTGCCAGCTTTCAGGGGGTTGTAGTCTTTCGCTATCGGACACCAGTCAGACATTTTAGCCGTGGTGGGTTTTCAGAGTTCAAATGAATCAATAACTTACTGATAGAACTCGACACGGAGATTTATCGTTAAAAATCGTTACACTTCTGTTCATTACAGCGTTTAAGAGTCGGAGCGCATCAACAAAAATAATCCGTGAGGAAATGAGTTCTAGGTCACATTTTATTGGTTCCTACTCGAGGACGTCTCCTCTTCTCCAGGCTTTCTAATGAGACGCGCAACATGATGGATAATTATTGAACAATTAATTATTATCGTGAATATCAATAAACAGGACAGGAATTTTTATTTACTCCACCAAAAAAAAAAAAAAAACTAAAAAAAAAAACTAACTGGGGGGGTGGGAGGTGACACAGGAAAGAGGGAAGAATGAGTAGTTTGACTTTTGACTTGTTAAAATGTGGCCTCAGTCTAAAAAGTTTCTACTCTAACCTTCAGGACATCATCAAAACAAGGTTCTTTACATTATGTACTTAGTTTTTAAATATTTTCCTTATCACAATAAATGACATAATTACAAATTGTTTTCTACAGACTGCCCAAGTCAGACCTCCCAAAATGTTCCACTTTTTGTTATGGCATCTGCAGAATATTTTTTCCATTTTAGTAAAATGAAACTCAGTGAGTTGTAGTTAATACATAATTAAAGAACATGATGGGGAGTTCACTTGCTTTTTATCATAAGGACAGTTGGCCTTGAAAAGATTTATTCCCAGAATAAATGAAAACATTTAAAGACTTTGATCTTCAGCTTTCTGCAAATACCTCATCTTACTACTGCAACACTTAAAATGCATTCCACCACTTTAACATGGCTTGGTTTCAGTATAATTGCATAAATAACAAAGCATTAACTTAGAACTTAGGGATGAAAACACACTACACAAAGCTTTACAAAAACATTATTTAATGAGAACAGTGAAAACTAATTTTCTTTACGTAGGCTAATAACAAAATCATTAAAACAATTTTGCTTTACTAGTATTTACACTGTCATGCTGCCTTTGATACAGTAATGAATTGGATCAGACAGAGTAAAAACCTTTTCAGTTCATTAGAAAATATTTGTCCACGTTGCTTTTGCATCATCAGAACAAGGGGATGTCTGATGCAGATTTAAATTTACATGTCCTCCACGCTCCATTTGTAAGCTTCCTCCTGGAGAGCTTTTTTATCAGCTATCCGTGTGTAGCGCTTCTGTTCAAATCCATTGGATCTGTAAAACAGTGCATACAGAAACATTATGTTAACTAAAAAACTTTAATTAATAAAGTAAACCTGACTTTTAACACTTTTTTGACAAGGGACGTTAAGTTGAGATCTGCTCAGGATCGATATCCTGTTTGAAGGTCTGATGATGCCCAAGCACCAGGGAACAAAAACCTCTTTACTGTTACAGTGGAAATTGAAACCTCAGTGGCTGCAGCTCTTTTTTCAGTCACTTGACAGTTTTTGACCTCCAACCTCCTGGTGTCTCTTCTAATTATCAGGGCCTTTTGTAACATTTTGTGCCCCTTCCCCTTTCCATTTTAGGTCAAGGTAATGATTTTTTCTCTCAGGTCTTTGGGCAATTTCTTTAACTGAGCTGTACTTCCACCATGCAATGAAAAGCTTCCATCAACAGCCCCAAACCATTTGCTTTTAGGAAGAACTCCATCCAGTTAAATCTGTTTGACATGCAAATAGTCACTGAATGCAGGATGTAGTTTGAATTTAGATCAAACAAATTTTGATATTAGTGTTATTCAACTATTGAAGTTGTTTTTATCTCATTTGCTCATGGCAACCAGGTGAACAATTTAGGATTTTGCCAATAAATGTAATTCCTGTTTGTATTAGGGTAGGCATTGAATAATTTTAGGTGCAACTGTAGAACAGCTATACAATGATTTTACCATCTGTTCTTCTGTGGTTTCATGTGGACCATCTACAAGCCTTACCTGTCGACTCCATCCCACCGATAACCTGGTTGAATGTTAAACCGATTTGGAGGAGGTGGAGGCCCTTGGTAGCGAGGTTTCGCTGTGAATAAAATCACAAAAACAAACCTGTTGACTTGGTGTCTCTTTGGCAAGCAGCTAATCGCAGAGACTTTATTGAGATAAATGAAGGTGAGAGACATTCAAACCTGGTGTTTTTGTGTTGCGCTCCTTTTTGCGCCTGAGCATCCCAGCCATTGGATCCCCTTCCCTTTCCTGCTCTCTCAACATTCGGTCAAGATCCTCATCATCGTAGTGACGTGCCAGCGGCTTCTGGGCTTCATGCAGCGCATCTTCTAGTTTCTGCTGTTGCATCTGTCCTTGGGCCAACCTGCAAAAATTTAGATTTAATGAAGCATATTACACATTTCAGTGTCCTTTCAGATGTCAAATAATGCTTAACAGACTTACCCTCTTCCCCACTGAGCATATTTCTCATCCTTTGCAGCTTTTTCTCCAGCTTTTCTCTTCTGTTCTACTCTTTCTGAATCCAAATCCCTCTTTTTACCGCTCTTGTCTCGGAACACCGTCTGGGCGTTCCGGGATTCATCTAGTCAAAGTATGAAACATACAATGAAACACCCTGTATCTTTTACAATATTCAGTCAAACAGAAACAAAGTGAAGGAAGAAAGAATGAAACTAACCTTCTAGTGGCTGATTGTTTTTTTCCCGTCGTCGGTTTTCTTCCTGTTCTTTTTTTAAGACATCAATAGAAACCAGACCTGCTTTTCCCCCTGAAAGCATCCTTGGACCCTGTAAAAATAAAATAAAAAATAAAAATTTGAAGCAAAACATGTTTTGACATTAGTCATGAATATATACATATATATTTTGGCTCACTTGAGAGGGCCCTGATCTTCGAGGTGGCGACAAGTCGTCATCTGAGTCTTTTCCACTCCGCGGCCGTCTGGGTGGAGACTGGTCAGAATCAGAGCCCTGTCTTCCTTTTGGACGTCTCCTCGGAGGAGATTGATCTGAGTCCGACGCTTCCCGCTTTACAGGCTTTTTTCGAGGAGGTGACTGGTCAGAGTCTGAGTCATGCCGATTCTGAGTTCTTTTAGCCTGAGGTGATCGCCGAACGTCTGGTGATCGCCGATTTGAACTGTGCTTGCTTCTGCTAGGAGAGGAATCTAAAAATAATAATATTTAAATGATCAGTCAACTGTTTGCTGTCAGTCAGGAAACACAAGCTGTTATTCAAATTGTCTTGTCAAAAGTTTCATCATAACATTACAAATAAAAAGTAAAGATGACTGAAATGAAAATACTTAAGACTTCCTTTTGCGTCTCTACAGTACCTTACTAAAGTATTCATGGCCCTTTTCATCCTTTCTTAACATTTTATTGCAATACAGCCACAAACATTAATGTATTTAGTGAGATTTGGTGTGTTGAAGCACTACAAAGAACTGAAGAAATAACGATAAATGGCTACATCTTTAGAAAGAAAAATCTGGGCCACCTATTTAACCCTTAAATAAAATACTGTGCAACTTCATTACTAATTCCTAAATGAACAAAAAAACATCAGAAAGGTCAAGGAGCACAAGGATTATGGTATCTCAAGAGGAGCTAATAGTCAAGCACTCCAAAAAATCTGACTTCATGAAAGTGCTAGAATAACAGGTCAAATTTGCAGTTTGGCACATAGAAGTCAAAGCAAACCAAACAGCACATCAAGCTGAACATCCACCATGCTCACAGTAAAACAAGATAGTGGTTGTATTATGCTGTGGGGATAGTTTTCTTTTGCAAGGTGACATAAGTCATACAATATTATAGACAGAGTCCAGACTATATTCGAAACAGCCTGTAAAAGTAATTTACTTTCCCCACCCACCTTTAGTTTGCGCCTTTCTTTGTTTCCCTGAATGCTGCCTTGGAGGTGACACATCTGGAGAGTCATGGCGAATTCTCCTGGGAGGAGAAGCATCTGGAGAGTCGTGTCTCTTATTTGTGGTTGGAGAACCGTGTTTATTTCCCTTTAGTGAACGTTCTGAAGAGTTAGACCGTATTTTGCTTGACACAACAGTGTCTGGGTGTTCACCTCCTTTCTCCTCCTCCTCTTCCTCCTCTCTGTCTTCATCAGCTAAACAACAGGAGGTTTGAAGTAAATATCAATCCAGATTCACACGTGAACAAATTCTTCTTACTTCACAGTTACCTCCAACTACTTTCCATCTGTTGCTGGTCCTAAAGACTTCCAGTTGTTTCACATCATCTGGTCGCTCATCAATGAATTCAGCAATCTACGAAAGTACAGAAATTAAAACACAGTAGAATAACCTGCTTGGACAGTGAAAGGAGTGAAGAATGAATGAATTCAGGCTAGCCAGCAAGCTAACGTTAGCTCGGTGCTTACTACTGGAGCCTCCTCTTCATCTTCTTCAACCTCCGTTTGCTCCTTCACCATCTGTCTCCAGTCAATGTCGTCGTCCACTATTTTAAGTCTTCAGATGGAAGAAAGCAAAAATAAGACGAATGTCACATCAAGCTACCCGCCAGAGTCGCCCAGACTCAAAACTAGCGTACGCGCTAACGTAAACCGCGAGTATCGCAGTTGGACTTTTCATTCACTCACCCTCTCTCGGGAACCTTACGTCGTTTCTTTTTTATCTTCCCTTTTGATTTACTGGAATTGTCGTCTGCTGACAAATACCGTTTGAGGTACTCAGCTTTAGAAAGTTCTGCTCCCTTGCTGTTGCTAGTAGAGGCGGCCATGATTAGATGTTTTTCGAAACTACGGATGACATTGAGGATCAAGCTTAAGCGAGCGAACAGAAGACGCGGATCAGCATCATTATGTAAACGGAATGCGGAGAGTGTCCAAATTGGGCGGAGTTTTTGGTTCTATTTACGAGATCAGATCGAATGATATGGGCGAGGGGGAATTATTTTTGCAAATTTTGACGGAAAAAATAGACAACATATACTTTCATTGCCAGGTAACTGTATATTTAAACTCGAAAAGATAAAGTGAGTGTATATGCTCAGCATGTTTTGTTTGGTGCTGCATTGGTGATATATATATTTATACTCTGGGCTGCACATGTATCTAAATCGAACTGAATTTTTTTGCTTTTGCTTTTAGCCATGTAAATATCAACTGACTATTCTCCCTATGTCTGAAAGGATTATACTCCCCCAAACACTCGTT